GCAAGAGGGTGACCGTCAAGCTACCACCTGCGCACCTCCCTGAAACGCAAGGTCGGGTCCATTGCGCTTGCCCCGTAAATTTCGAGTTCTGCAGTGCACATACTGGCATCGAACCCAAAGCTTTTGGGTCGCTTCTGGCCAGATGCTTCCGGATCTGCACGCCTAATTAGGGCCTAATTGCTCAAAAAAAGGGCTCGCTGCTTTGCATTCACTGGCAGTTAGTTAGCTTGCTGATGTCGTCCAACAGGTGTTTGTCACGTCTTCTTCTATCTAAACCATGGCGTCACGGCGTCCAACCTTTATCCAACTTGCTGTCCTGTCTGAGCAGAAACGGCAGCCACAATTCTTACTATGCAACCTTCACTGACACCCACAATTCTACTATGCAACCTTCCCTGACACATGTGACCCAACACATATATCTGCATGTCTACTGGTTTCAGTTTCTCACTCACCTCTGCATGTCTGCTGATTTCACTTCTCACTTACCTCTGCATTTGCTTCCACTTTGCACCCGTGCTCCACAAAAACTATGTCTGACAAACAACCACAACAACGTCAGTGACCTCAACCTCAAACTATTGGTATATATATAGACGTACAGCTGTTGTTGTATTGAACGACACATGATACATACATACATACATACGTACGTACGTACGTACATACATACATACATAGAGGTATTTACACATTCCCTTAAATACACGACACGACCCAGTATATATAGTGCCTCTTATGGGACTCCTGGGGAATCGTCTCCAGGCCACCAGGGCCGCGGGCCCTGCGGGCCCTGCGAGCCGGGCCTGTGTCATTTGTGGCCCGGTTCCTCAGGGTTAGTTAGTTGCTGCGTGCGGCCGCACGGTGACACCGGGGTGTCCAGTTTCGACAGGAGTTCTAAAGCATGCTGATTCATTGAGATGTGTGAGGACTCTCTACGAAAGAGGCATTCAGTTGCGTGTGTAAACACTCCCTTTGGCTACTTTCTCACGTCCTTATGTACAACCCAATGTATTATGTTCTTCTTCCAGTGCATCGCTTCCACTTCCACAAGTGCTTGAGGGAGCATGAGCAAGCAAATTTAAGAAAAACATTGCCAGAACCAACTCTACCAAATGGGAATTCGAGTTCTTGTACCGTTTTGATGTTATGTTCTCGCTAGACATGAGAACACCTTTGAAATCCTTTGAACACCTTTCATCAAAGAGAGAGCTACGCAGCTACTTGCACACTGCCCGAGGTCCAAATGATCTTAAGACAACAAGAGGGAAGTTGTCCCACGAGAAGTGCTAGGATGGTTTCCGGTCATAATCCGGATGCGTAGTCTCGTTTGGGGCAGGATAGGGGAACTCGCTAGAAGATCCAATTTTCGTCCAATGAACAACCAATTTGGACCATCTCTGAACACTGAAGCGTTATCAATCAAATCCAAATGTTCTTATCTGGCCACAGGGGATCAAGGTTCAAACACCCACAAGCAGCAAGCTGGTCGGCTGTCGAAGACATTTGTTTGGCTCCTAGTTCGTTTGAGCAAACATACTCCGTTGTTGGGCCTTGTGGAGAAATCGCTGGCAAACTACTTCAGCAGCAAAATCCATCGAAGAAGGTCCAGACCAGGCTGCGGTAGGGTATTACAAAATATATCCCCAGACTGAATCTAATGTTGATGGCAGTTGATGCTGAATTAGACAAAATTAGATATTGTTCTAACCTATCGGTGGCGCACCCTGTCGTCGTCCCTTTCTTTCGATCATCCTACACCTCGGGTGTCTCCTATTGTTGATAACAAATAACTGTTCCTTCTGACAAAATGTTATTACTAGCCATTATCCACTCTTGGGAATGGGGCGTCCGATTGGACAGGTCAACGGTTCATGTCCAACGATGGAAGCAGCGTGCGCATGCCCGGGTTTTTTTCGCAGCGTCGCGGGGAAGTGGGGAGATGTTCTTTTGAATCTACCCAGGCAGCGTGGTTTAATATGGTTGGCCTTTAGCCTTAATTTGGCCATTTGTTTGTCTGAGTATAGGGACACTAAGTTGGGGATGAGAATACTGTATGTATGCTTTCGCAGACCTGTCAGTCAAAGTTGCATTCTTTGGAAATCAAATGACTTCTTGGCTCCTTGTTCCCAAATGTACCTCGCTGGAGGGTCACGGATGGGTCACGTCAGCTTCTTTTCGCGCTAATATAAGCTTGAATGAAGCAGAACATCCACGCTCTGCCAACCCGAGGGCGCTGCACATCAAATCCTTGGGTTTCGATCCTTGTTTTGCCCTCAAGAAACCGTATTCTTTCCGCAGTAAAATCGAGGTCTGGGGATGGTCTGGGGTGTCGGAAGCTGGGAGATGAAAAAGGATCAGAGGTTTTCAGCAGTTTCAGTTGGGTGCTATCCATGGAGGAAGTCGGGGTGCCCCTGAAAAACATCCACTCACTCTTAGGACTTAGGGGTCGGGGATGGTCGGGGTGTGAAAACGACCCTCAACGATCCTTTTGGGACTGCTGGGATGTTAAATTAAAGGATATGAAGAACGGGTACGATTTGGGCGCATTTGGGTGTTTTTTTGCCTTGTCAATCGGGACACACCCTGGCTCGGGGTGGGTTCTTAGTCTGTTGTCCAACCCGAAACCCGGGACCTCGTTGCCTAGAGGTCTCCCTCTTTAGCGTTCTGCACCGGACCGTGCGACGGACGGGCTTCACCGGCTTCGGTGGTTTTCACGGCGGCACCGGTGAACAGTGGCGCGACCAAGGTGCTTTGCCCTTCCTGTCTCGGGCAGCCCTGAAGGACTGGAGAGGACCGGAGCGGCCTTGGCCCCACCCGAAAGCCCCACCCAGCGGCACCTGAAAGCGATGACACGACCGGAGTGAACGCTTCCATGGTGGTTTTGGGGTTCAATCACAGCGGAACGGCGGTTGGTTGGGTGAGACATGGTGAGACGTTCGTCACCTTTGAACACTGACCCTTAGTGTTCAGGAGTATGTGGCGTCGACGGTCACTCTTTACTGGCCCACACACGACTTCGCCCAGTTTTGGGGGGGGGGGTTCGGATTCCCGCAGGGCCTGCAGGCTGCAGATCTTTGATGATTTTGAACCACCCTAAGAATTCGAACGGCCTGTCCATGGGTCCGTGCTCGGACCGAAACTCCACCGAAACGCTCCGGGGTCAAAACGGGGCCGGTTACCAAACAACCCCATCTGTTGGTGAAGGAGCCCGGATTCTTAGGGCAAAAAGGCGATGATTTTCCCAACCCCAAACACTCCATGTGTGCAGGGGTCAAAGGGTGGTTTCAGGGGTCAATGTATGCAAATATGCCATACATGGAGTGTCTGGGAACTGAAAATTGGAGACGATCCGAATTCAGATGTCCAGCGAATGAGCTTTGTCCAAACCCAACAAAGCCGGGTAGGTGGACCATGTCTGGTGGTCAACACGAGTTTTCCGCTTCTGATCCACAGCCATATGGTTGTGTATTAAAATATGGGGACCTCCCAAAGACACCATGGAAGAAAGGACATAAAAAAACCCTATGGTTGGACGCTTCCCCATTAAATTCCACAGCCTGTTCCATCCAACCGAAGCGACCGAAAAGACGAGAATACACACATGGAGTTCACGATCACACGAGGTCCCCGCAAACTTGCGACGGTGTATGGCTCAGGGGACCGACTCGTTGCGCGTATTCGTGCATTGACTCATGGGCGGGAGTCACTCCTGGGTATACTATATATGTACGTACAAGCACACCCAAGGGATCCATGGTGTATTTCAGTCTTTCTTTCACTCTATTTAACATATATTACAATATTCATCACACCCAGGTCACTGGAAATCTTGGTGACCCATCTTGTCCTTGCCGACGCAGGAGATTTCTTTTGCCGGCACATCGGCAAATGTCGATTGGCAGCTCGAGAAAGCCGCGTTGTTAATGCATCCAAATCGCAGTGCAGGGGAAAAAAGATGACCTGCAGTGGAGGCCATCACTACTAGGGTGGCTGATGGGACGCGTGACGTCCCTCGACTTCTCTAACCCTCCTAGAGAGACGTCAAAGAATGGTCCATATGTATCCACACAGTACGAATCAACAGTCAATATTACCCGTTGTTTTACAATGTTTTGCATGCGTTCATGTTTTCAATGATCTCTCGATCTGCTGGTAGATCGGCAGTTGTCGGCAGGCAATCTTCTCAAGCTAGCTGGAACACTGTTGTGAACACTTTTGTCGTGACCTCCAAATCAATTGAGCAGTATCTCCCATTTCCAAAAAGACTAAAATAATGTTCCAGCTAGCTTCTCATAGCTTTCCCATCCAATCTCGGAAACCCGGTGAGAAACCCATGTTGAATGCATGTTGTCAACATTGTCAATATTTGATGTTGCTAAGCTGATATTTGTGGGGGGTGGGGGGCCCTGGTGCCACAGTTGCCACACCATGCCGGCAGTCGAAGAAAGAGGCCTGGAGACGCTTAAAGGTGTTTACTATGGTTTAGTTTACTAGTGTCTTTTTTTGAAAAGGCCATCTCCTTTGTCGGTGAGACACTTGGGATGCGGTGCGACACTTGGGGTCGGCATTTCACCCCGACGTGACTGACCAGGACTGGCGCTTCCGGACTGGGGTGACGGTGACGGTCTTTCGCTCAAAATGAGATGTGATTAATCTAAGATATCTAAAACATATGATTCTACTATGAAAGGTGGTAACAACATAATATTGGGAACATTGGGATATCAATGCAAGAGTTGATGGAACAAAAAGACTATTTGTCAAAAATAAGTCGTTGCTGGCTCAAGCGCTCTAAACCTGCCGCCAAAGTGCAGTACGGCTCAGCAGATGGTGACTTGATAAAGAAAGAACGTGAGGACCACGACGTGCAGATGTAGAACAGGCAGACCCTTTTCTATGGACACGGAGTAATCTTTTTGCAGCTGGGCACACAACTCACAGCAGGAACTCGAATTGAGTTCTTCAGCAGACACGATCAAATTCAATCACTTTCTACCTTTATGTTGGCTTTTTGCCATCACTGGCAAGTCGACACCATGCTGTCGTTCTTACCGCATCCAATTCAGGAGAAGTCGGGCTGTTCCAGGGCCGTCGACGCACCGACTTCTGACAGGGAAAACGCCAAATCTGGGAGAAGGACCATCAGTGAACAGCATTTTTGTTGAAGGAACATGAGTGAACCTCTACTTAAACATCCAACATCCACTTAGTATAAAGCTCTATATAGCTCCATAGCTCAGTATTTGTTGCTCCTTTGGTGATCTCAAAAGGGCACCGCCTTTTGGGACCCCCAAAGGCGAGTCGACGAAGACCGACGAGTCTTCCTGTGGGCCACCCAAAGGAGTTTGGGATGCGGATTGCTCAAGTGGTTGGCTGTATATACCCTACATCCCCTAGGGCTCCTGGCCCACCGTTTCGAAGATGGGACAGGGGTGGCTGGTCTTAGAAGGTCGAATACCACCGGTCACCGGGTCGGAGATGGGACGAGACAGGAGCCCTGGGGCATCTACGTCGTCTTCGCCTTGCCTTGCAAAACTGGAGATGAAGACGACGGAGGATTACTCTAGTCCGTTTTCCATCCATTTCCCCGGCACGAGCGGATCACCGGTATTTCCGAACTGACTGGGGATTTGGAGAGGAAACCTCCACTAGCCAGGCTCTTCCGAGACCTTTGGTACTGGCGAGAACCTCTCAAGGCGGAATGCTGAGGAGGGCTACCGTGGATGGTGAGCGACCATGGGACAGGGGGATCCGGCACAGAGCTGAGATCCTTCGCACATACATGACTCTTCACACGATAAATGTATGACATTGTATGACATGTTTGCCTACATTGGGGAGGGTTTCAGCGGTCGTGGTAGGCTTGATACTAATTCTGTTGGCGCTGACGTTGTCTTTTCCTCGATTCCTAAACAGGCGTTGGGAAATTCCCAGACTATAGCCACCCAATTCCCCAAACCACTCCTTGGAGCCTTCGCTGTTCCCACTTCAGGCCCCGTCCATTCTCGTGGCTTTGCTCCAAGACCACTCGATCAACATATCGCAGGGAGCCTGAGCAAGAACGGTGGGACAAACCAGCGATGGTGGACCACCCTGAATTCCACACGTGACAAGGGGGTGAGTTTCCACAGCCATGCGCTACACAGGGTGTGGAACTCTTGGCTGCAGGATGGCCAAATGAAGTGGCTTGACTAGAAACTCTTCCAGAGGATTTAGCTCTCAGAGCACACGTGCCACCACCTCAGTCATTAAAGAACACTTGCCAAGAGTGGGGTGTTGGGCATCAGGTTCAATTCTTGAGCCCATGGAAGTGGAAAATAGGCCTGTAGAAGACCATGTGCCTCTAGAACCAGCTTTTCCATGATGATTTCAGGGAATGTACTGGGTCCCTGCCCTAAGGCGTATCACCTAGCAAAAAGGCGTATCTATGTTTCGTGAGGGCACGATGTGCAGGGCGTCCGCTTGTAGCCATTAGAGTAGGGAGTCAAGGCCCTTTGCCGTCAGAGTCGAGGCTGTCGCGAGCTGTGCAGCCCTGGCCACAGCCAGGCGCGGACCTGCGCAGTCTGCGGAATGTTCTTGTGGCTGGTGATTCACCCGTTCACCTGTTGCTTTTCTATTTGACACATGCTGCATTAGCTCTTGTACTGACCTTGAAATCTTTGGCTGGAGGTAGGCCATCAGTTGAAACGTTGGACATGGCAGAGACTTCACACTACGCGACCTTTGTCGATCGACACCACTTTTGAACAGTGGCAACAGATTGCAAAAAATGAAAATGTCACCTTCCGGCGCCCGCCGTTTAAACTAAGTGGAAAAGCCCGCACCTGTTCTGTCTATTCCTGACCATGCCCCCAAATTGAGAAGAGCTAAAATTGGGAACCGCAGTCGTGGGTCTGAAACAGATGTGCTTTTGTTAATGGCGAGTTTTGAATTATTTGGTGCCGCTGTTTGTGGTGCACCTGTGATTGCAGCGGCAGACATATCCAGACATCCCACTCTATTCTTGAATGTTGATAAAAATCCCTCCCGTACCAGGAAAGGTCTTTCACATCCCCAGGCACTCCATGTATGGCATGTATACCTACATGTAGGGGTGATTTCATTCGGGGTCAATGGGGTGGCATATATGCAAAAATCCCATGGAGCGGCCATGGGATCTATATGCAATGCCAAAATCC